AAAATACAAAGAATTCAGCATAGTTTTTTACTTTTGTTTAATCAGAATTGATAAGTAAGTGATAAGTAGTCAAGAATATTGTGAACAATCATTTTGACGCATTTAAATACGGAAATACATTTCAAACATTACGGACCAGTAACTACATAATTTTTCTTCTAATCCAATTTGAAGCGTCTCAGAAGTGATTAGATCCGATTCTCCCCGACGAACTTCGATAAATTTATGCCATGGTGTTAAATCATCGAAAGCATAGACTTCAGTATAACTAGATCATGAGAACGGCTGGTTAGTGGAACACTGACTTATGATGATGAACATCACCGTGTGATTAGTAAGCTATGAACCGAAAAGATAAATATTGCTGTCTGTCACACGAACTTCCATATCATGTAGAGTAACAGTCCCTCCAAGACTGCAGAAATATGGAGTTGAAAAATGTGTGCCAACAGGAAACCTTACTACAATTATAGTCGTGTATCAGTACTTGTTGATGTTGATACATCATCTTGCTACCAAAACTGAATCAGGTGGTTTTCATAGCAGATCACTGCCCAAAACTTTGACTTAGAATTCGAACCTAGAAGGCAGTGACGCAATGTTAGATCCTAGCTCATGAAAGCCGGTAAACGAAATTAGGTTCATTCGCTCATTCAGGATCCTAGAGAAAATGTGCACCAGGGGGTCGGAAGCGGGAATTCCAAATTCTCAAGGTGCACCCTTTGTATCCACCATCCAAATTTAAGCGTAGGCTTTCTGCACTATTTTTTCAGCCTCACAAGCGACACAGCAGCGATACAAAGGTACTGAGTGAGACTTCTCCGGCAGAACGCAAGGCTGTAGGACAAGTTCGTGAGCAATGTCTAGATTTTACATACGAACAATAAATGTGAAACCTAACAAGTGAGTCTACACATCGTCATGAAGATCAGTGACATATGCTTATGGAAATTTCAAAAACTAAATCACGTTACAGACTTAGATCTGATAGATGTGCTAAATACTTTCAAACGATACAAGCTCAAGGAATAAAGTGGAAATAAATTTTCTGAATGATGCATGCAAAAAAACATGCGGACAACGTACCAGTCATTGATCTCTGATCAATAACACAAAGATATCTAAAGAAACTGTTAATCAATCCAACCTGTAAAACTTATATAATAAAACAAGAGAACAATATTGTTTGCAATTAGATCACATTCAGACTTTATTGCAATATACACGAATATTTATACAATTATGTTGAACGTACAAATATCCATTTGACAAGAATACCACACGCAAGTAGCATGTGAAAATTCACCTGTGTTATAGTTACTGAGGTTAATTGGCCTTCAATATGAAATCAATAATAATTTAAATACAATCAGTTCCGAACACTTAACATGATCATACCAATTAAAAACCTTAAACTATACTGATATTTAATGACCTGGAAAAATAAGTTTTTAGGCAATTGTTTCCCATAGAACTCTCTCTCTCTGTGTGTGTACACTGTCCATTATTGGAGTCATTCAATTTTATCAATTAGAAATAACGGAATAAACAATCAGTCAATAAAAAAAATGGTAAATAAACAGCATGACTAATCTAAAATAAACAAAATGTTATGAATAGATAGATTAATACTCTCTATTGATAACATAGAAAATCATATTGAATGTATGTTATATCTAACTTATAGTCAGTTAGGTCAAACAACAAGGTGGAAAAATAAGGGCAATAACATATTTATCAATACAGGGATATTAAATGGGCGCTATTGAATGAAGAAAGTTCGTATATCGAAACGAAAACAAGATAAGTGTGGTGAAAATACTCGATATAAAACTCTGGAAACTTAAAATAACCAAAGAACTTGAGGAGAAACTCAGTAAACGATCACAGATCTATGTAAATTAGAATATCAGACGTGAATTTGCAATTATTTGAAACTAGTCAGCCGGTTCCAGATATCGGATTGAACATGAGCACTGAGATCCAATTACATTCGGCTGAGTCCTAAACAAGTTGAAATGCGTGTCTCAAATTCCAGTACTAACTACTATTCAACTTTGCATAAATGTGCTTATGGATTATTGTGAGAATATTGAGTCAATCCATTGAGGATGCATACATGATTAAAAAAGGGTATGATCAATTGAAATTATTGAACATCAACAACAGAAAAATCCAAAGAAAAAGTGGCCATAGACATTGTTTTTATATGATACATTTTGTGTATGATTGAACACAGACTAGTTTAGTTCGTGAATTACACGGAAAAAAGATTCAATCAATGATCCAGATGCATTAGACGGAATGGATCCAATGGCAGATATGAAGTAAGTTATCAACATCAACTCGTAGTAACACAAACAGGATGACACTCGCTCTATCCTCTTTGCATCTCTACAGATTAATCTAGCTGACAAGTAGCGATTTTTTGTAAAAACTTTTGTTTAAATTCAAGATTCAATTATTGAACACCATCCTTAAACGCTAATTCATTCGTGGAAGTTAGGCAAATAAAACTTGAAAAACGATAAACACATATGACACAAAAATGTTTATTTGCGCATTGTTATAATATCAACAATAAGAATAATAGTAATATTGAACACATTGATAATAATAATAAAAGACATTATACCTTGATGTTTGTTAGAGTGAAATAAAAACAATAAAGTGAAAAACATTCAACAATTAAAAGAAGCAAAACAAAACGAAAAAAAAGTGTAAAACATGTCAAATTTTGTTTAAATTGTTAGTGTTGCTATTATTATGATTGTTATTATTATTATTGTTGGTTGGTGTTGCTATTACTGTTGACAAGCGTGTACATATATATTATTAGGAAGCGTATAATAATATATGCACCACAATAGATAGTAAGTAAGTAATATCTGATGTGAGTTTCATAATGATTGCTGGTTCGTGTGCTGTTTTTTTAACTTGCTACTTCGGCGATCACAATTGAAACAGTAACAAATAATCAGAATGTGCGTTTATAAGCATACACAATTGTTGTGCTTGATTGATTGATGATGATGATGATGATTAACACAATGATACAAAGAGAAAGTTATACATAAATAATAAGCAAAACTCAAGTGCATATGAATTTGGTGTATACATACATGTACAAGCATAAGTTGTCAGCGCAAACACAACACAAAACAACACACGTGTGACACACAGACAGAAATGCTGATGTTGCGCAACGGGATAAAAAAAAACACCAAGAAGTAGGATAAAATAGGGAATTAGAATGTTTATGTTTGAATAGATTTTTAAAGAGTAGAATAAAAATAAAAATTGTCAAGGCAACTGAGTGTGCACCAGTCAAAACACAGCATACACACTGTTTAACACACGATCGAGAACAAAATCCTAACACAATAAGTGAGGAACATGTTAGATGTGATTAGACACTGACGCAACACTGCAGTTATAATATATGACTAGCAACGATTAGGAGTAAAGTTTGTCAAATTATGTATTGTTATTATTATTATTATTAATGTATGCAAATGAATAAACACATTAGCAACACACCGACGGGGAGACGAGAACTGTGTATTAAGCAGGTTTTTAAAAGGAAGACATCAAACGTGAACACAACAGACAAGCAAACAGCACAGAAGAGAAACAAAAGAAGGAAGTAGGCGAAAAGAGAATGAAATTAATTATTTTTTCTTAATTAAGAAAAGATTTCCTTTGTTTTGCAATAAAAGGCACAGCAGACCAGAAAAGACACAAAATGAATTTTTTTTTGTTTGTTAAAATGATGACCACCGGTGAATGATACCGACAAGGACACAAAAGCACTATTATTTAATGATCAGCATCATGAACAATTGGGAAGAAGAGAGAACAAAAAGCCAACACACACACACACAAGACTGCAAATAAATTAGACTCACACTCACAAGCAGATAGATGAGGAAAAACAGAAGCCCAGTAGTCATAATTGAATAACATCATGACAGCATAAATATATAAATGAATATGAAATTGAATTAAACAAAGATAATAAAGGGTTAGGTCTCCTCCTCCCATTGGTAATTGCAATCGACTAATATGATTGAGTTAAGCAGTACCTACAATGAATAATATAGATAACGAAAACGTACACATATTAGTAGTGCATAAACAACCGAATATTAAATTTGAAACAGTACACTAGAATGAGAATCAAGAATTCAACAAACAAGTGAACTAGTTCAAATTGTCACATCATAGGCATTACAGCAAGAGAGAGAGATGAAATTATCACAAATAAATATCAGAATGGTTGAAATAACAACCATGTCACTGATAGAAAAATAAAACATTAGAAATACACAATAAGAATTGAGAAGAATGAATATAATTGAGCCATTGTGATATCAACGTCTCCAACTAACATGGATTATGATAAACACACAAATAGATGATACCGAAATTCAGTTTAGTTTTACATTATTCCAATGTGTCACACACACACACACACACACACACAGTGAATACAGTCTACTATTCATAAGCTACTACTAATATACAACAGTGTATACTTAGTTGGTTTCTAGCACACTATTAATGAATTTACAATGGGTGCTCTTACATACTTGATATGTTGTTGTTGTTGTTGTTGGTGTTGTATGAACCCGATGGACAACATAGTGGAATGATGGAATCAAACTAGCAAACTTAAGAGAAATTTCATTAATTAATTAATTAATTAATTAATTCATTAATCTATGCACAGTCGGGGATGCGAAACAACAATAAACCAGAGATTAAAATTTCATAAACTGAATTACTGAATGCATTTTATAAAGAAATTGAATTGAACAAAGAAGGAATGTCCGCGGCAATAAACCGCTTTTTACCGCTTTGCCAGTAGAAAAGCAATCAAAACTTCGGGAACACCATTATACCAACCACTGCGACCGACTAGAAGTTTGAGTAAGCTTAAATGCCAGAGAACACATCATCACTTTCGAACTTCATTCATTGCATTCAATCAATAAAAGTTAATCGATTGTGTGTAACTGACCTGTAATACTCACTGCCTCCGGTTCACCTTCAGCGACAAATTTGACAACATCGTCTTTTGTAACTTTGCCATCAATCTTCTCTACTTCATGTATAGTGGTTGTAATTTTTCCACCTTCTACAAGTGTACGCTTCTCCGTAGATTGTTCAGTGGTTTTTACAACCATTTCTACATCAGTAGTACTGAATGAACAATAAAAAAAAAGTAATTGAGTATTAAAACACAAAACACAATTCCATTCATTCATAAGTAATCATTATTGAATGAATGCATATAAAATAAAACTACAAACTATATCAAATCATTATTCATTAATAGAGATATTTAATACACAAAAATTTACCCATTCAAATATTCCTTGATTGAATCCAATGTAACATCAGCAATATCTTGATGAATTTCCAGCGTTGTATCGTTTATCTTCTTATTCGTTGGTAGAATATCATCTTCTATGACAGGTGTACAATTAGTATTCATTGTTTCATCAGTGACTGTATTCACAATATTCTGAAATGATGAAAAAAGTTTAACAATAAGAGCTGGACAGGAAAGGCAAGGTAAAAAAAAGCGTAAACTTTTATAAAATAGACAAACAAGCAAACAATACCTGGATAGATTCATCCGCTGTAGTTGTCTGGTTGGATACATTTAAATGTTCCATTTCACCTGGAACATCTTTACTCGTGTTAGTAGTAGTAGCAGCAGTGGTAGCAGTAGTTCTAGCCCATTCAGGTAAACGAATTGCAATAAAATCATCTGTCATGACATTATTCACTGGTGTTGCAAATGAATTCAACGAAGGCATAGGATTGAGTTCAGATACTAATAAACGACAGCCTATGGACCAGAAGACATGTGTGTTAAATGTTCGTGTGGCAACACACGGTAATGTAGATGACGGTACATAACCAGGAAAACAACGTTCTACATGAGAAAAGAAATTTACGAAAAAAACACTTTAAACAATGCAATTACGAGCAATTACAAATTTGAATTGAACAGATACATATACAACAATCAATATCATATTCAAACTATGATTCGACTTTTTTGAATTAATGATTTCACATAAATAAAATCAAAGACGATCTCTATCTTAAAATAAAACAGTTTTACGTGCTACATCAAAATCACCCAGAAGATCTGTAATTTGGACGGATAGTTCTGATAATCAACTGACTGCAAAATTTTTGTTGTTCTGCAAAACTTTAAGGCGAATTGAACATTGTAATTATTACACAAGTATTGAGTCAGTTCGCTATTTATTGAATTGTTTTGTTTAAGGTTTCTTTTCATCTTTGTGTGCCTGTCGACTGCTTTGTTTTACTAACCTCCCGACCATAGCTGCTACCTTGACGTGGTGGTCCGACTTGACTATCGTGATGACCCAACCGAGCTATATTGGTTGCAACATATGTTCCTCAAGGTTCTACCATGCAGGCAGGTCGATTGGAGAACGATGAGACTAAATGGAGCTACTCAAGGTCTGAGGACGAAGTCGTACTTCTGACTGCAGAGAGATGTGACAGCAGTAAGGTGTTTACCTCAGGCAACCAGCATGCTGCTTTCTCACAAGGAAGCAATGGGTTAGAAAAGGTCGACCCTGAAAATGTCACACCGTGCGTGACCGGCCACAAGCAGTTGTCTCTTGGACTCTGCGGTCATGCCCCCAGGTCTCCAAGACTAACACTATTATATCTTCCTTTTCAGGTCCCTCAAGAAACAACCTTCCACGGTGTGGGCAGCCGGGAAGTGACAACCGCCCTCATACCCGTAACAGCACGAGACACCAAATTGATCAAAATCAAATCCTTCTTACACCCCGTATATCGCTCTTATCTCTACAACTAACTCTACTCACATTCCCTTATCTCACTGCACCGCTAATGCAAACGAAGCGAGTTCACGAAACGTCATTCCTGGTCTCTTGAAACCCCGTTCTAAACTACATGTTGGAGCATTTAATGTACGGACATTATGTCAAATAGGGCAACAGGCTTCATTAGCTAGGACTGTCTTGTTTTACCAACCTACATCAAAGAGCTCACCTCCGCGTAAAGTAAGCGCTGATGATGTTGTCTAGAATGACAATGGTAACCTCGTAAGTAAGCTATCTACCTCTGAAAACACAACACATAATGAATCAGTTAACTGAGGATAAACGATGAATTTTTGTCAACTTCCGTATCAATCATGTGACATTGCCACTGCACAAAATGTACTCAACTTTCTCCAGAATTATTTATTGCATAGTTGATAAACATATTCAGTAAGTAAAAAAACTTTTCACCCATGAACTCACCCTTGAATACTTTACGAAGGTTAGGCAGGGACAATACAGCAATCTGTCCATCCAGCAGCGTAGCAACAGCATTCCATTCAAGTTTGGTATTTTCACCAGATCCAGATGTAAAATTCTGCAGGCCAAACCCTGTCACACGTTTGCGATTAATCTGACTTGCATTCACATACGCCACCTGTAAAGAAATAATAGTTACTATCAAAAACATTCATCGTGATATGGACAACAATATTCCTTCAAGTCCAATGCATTAACCTATGTGCTTGGCAACAGAGTTACATGAAAATAGATTTAAATGATAAATAATAGACACTGGTGAATGGAGTTTCGAAAAACGAAGAAATTACTTACCTCATTCTCACCAACAACTATATCTACTGCTTCTTTGTCCCCATCTTTCTCTGGTTTAGAAGATGAACCTGCACCGGAAGTCATCGACATACCAAGCATGCGAAGACGATCAATGAATTTATGTTTATAAATTGGACGAAGCGAAGGTAGACTGAATAACTTAACTTGTTCTTCAGAACACAAAAGTAATTGATGTACATCCTGTGTAGATGATGATGCTGATTGTAAAGGTGTTTCAGTGTCTTTAACACTTTCCGCCGGAACTTCAGCAGTAGTCTCCGACGATGGTTGAGTAGATTCTTGTTTTTCATCGCCTTCATCGGATTCAACGCAGGAATTCCTGAAAAAATTAAAAACAAAAGAGCAATAGAATTGAATGAAAATGTTAAAATAGTGCAGCAAATGAACAAAAACCTAGTAGAAGAAATAAAACCAGATGTGGGATAAACTACAAAAAAATGATAAGTTTACATACCGGTAAGCTTGGTTATGCATAATTGGTCCATGATTAACTGCATCTATAATATCCAAAGATACAATTGGAGAGTGATGGTGTAATTGTAATTCTTTGCATAATGTTGCCGTAACGGGTCCAGCGGTACTTTTCCATGATAAATTAAAAGCCAACGCTTTACCCGAACTAGTACCAATCCAAACAGAAGGAGTACGGTCTCCTGTTTGAATATATGTTTCAGAAAATAGGAGACAACGAACAGCTGATGAAGCAATATCCTCTTGGCTCAATTGAATAGGCTCAGGGGGGACATCAACTTCAGCATTGTCCGTCACTAATTGTTGCTTCTGTTCTTCAGATTCTGCAGATGTTGTTGGTTGATCTGTTACTTCTACAACATCAACATTTTCTTGTATTTCTTTCTTTTCAGTTGATTCAATAGGCTGATCTTTTTCTTTGGTTTCATCTGTAAATTAATTCAAACAAGTAGAATATTTAAGACCAATAAACGCTTATATATGTTTGAAACTAGTTTGTAATGAAGTATGATAATGAATGGTGATGAAGAAAAACTAAACGTTTTAAGGTAGATTAGCGCTACAAATTATTATCGATGAAGTGCTACGGAGAATTATTATCATCTTAAAAACGATGTTTGCAAATTAGAAAATAAGTCTAGACCTCCCCGTTTTCTGAAACACTTAAGTTAGGTTACTGTGGCAACTTGAACCGCGATACATGGTTGTGTCACATTCTAACGAAGATTATGAATAACTTGAATGTGTACTAGTGAATTCTTTAACCGAGATTATCACTACTAGTATGAATGTATTTACTAGGTACAGAATGGTGTACTTGGCTTTGAGTCACATTTTAAAAATTCAAGCCATTGATACTACTAGGTCAATCAAATCGAAGTAGGTGTAGGTTCAAATCTTTGAATTAGTGATTAGGAACCGAACGTTTAAACTACTGACACACCATCGCCTTTTACTGAGAAAATAAACATGATTTATGTACTATTTTTCTTGTGTTGTTCAAATGTAAAAGTGGTTGTTATATTGATAGTCTTGAAAAACTAAACAATACAAGACATAACATACCTTTAAGTGAAGCAGTATCAACATTATTTTCAGTTTGTTTCGATGCTGTTTGTTGGTCATCATCTGATGCAGCTGGTTCTTTGGAACTTTTCTCAGAGCTGGCTGTTGAAGTATGAAGATGTTTTAGACGTCTAAATGATTGTCTCATTGTTGATGTAAGCTGTTTTCCACGAGCCATTATCACATTTTGTACAGCTGTATAAATAAATATGAATGAAATTTAGAGCTAACAAGTAGTAATTAGTCAACAACAAATATATTACATTAACCGTTGATTACAACAAATATAATCCAACTTACTTGCTACAGGATTAACAATCTTTGCAGGACCTGATGAATCGTAAGTAAAATGAGTATGAATTATAGAACGGTTGAATAAGTCTAACAAAGCAAAACCATGTGAAGAACCAATAGCCAGTAGATTCCAAGATAATTCCAATGCAAGCGATGTAATCTGACTAGGAGGATTGAGTTGAATAAGTTGACAAGGATGAAATGTTAGTCCAGTAGGTGTGCAATACTGAGCGACACCTTCAGTAGGCTAGAAAACACAATTACAACACATACAAAAGATTTTGATCCGTTAGAAATTTTATACTAAACTATACCAAAGTTATTATAATCAAGGAAAAATATTGTAAGGAAACCTTGACACATCGATTAAATGATCATAGACATCAACAGAACTGGTTATGTATAAATCTCGAAAAGGATAAAGAAAGCTTTATTGGTTTTGGTCAACTAGAGTAGTCACTTGTGGGGTAGGCAAAATATCCATCTGCTAGCCAAAGGATACACTTTACTACAACTTAAACTGATGTAAGAGTACCAAGTTAGAGTTTGGAGGTGACTGACCGACTGACTTATATATACGATGTGATATTCTAAGCTGAAAGAGGTTGGTTGACAAATAAAGATCAATGAAATTCAAATCAGTGGTAGGTAAAGAAAGGTATTGTTGTGTTCAATGTAAAACATGAATAACTTAAATTTAATAAACTTAATATCCCGGATTCAAATTGAAACAGCTGCCTAGTTAGTACATTCGTTTTCAAAAGTTTGTTGGTTGCTGTCGGTCAGTGCTGAAAAATATCTCTGTAAATCAGTGACAATATCAAAAGCGAAATTCATTGGTTCATTTTACTTTAACGTTGAAATTTAATTTACGGTAGCTATTGACAGTTTGCTGTTCAAATAGTAGTCAGTTGTACAAACAGTATAATACATTGAAGATTATCAACGGTAGGTCATTTAGCAACTAATAGCTCGATACATACAAAGTGTTCCTCTTGTCTGGTGACAATGTGCTGTAGAAAATGATAATATACTAATGCAATAAACTATTCACGTTTTACAGAGAGTAGAATAAAAATGGGAATTTCATATTTACGATGAGAATAAACATCATATTACATCAAACAACAAACTATGCACCAATGAAAAATATTGTCAGTCAGTCAGTCAACAACAACAACATAGAACATAGGACATAATTGAAGAAGATACAAGTTCTAGGAAAACTACCTAGGTGATGATTATAATTACTAATTTTCATGGATAGAAAAATAAAAACAGAACCCTCTATATTTTAAGAACATAAGAAAGAGTTTCAACCAATACAAGTTGATAGTGAGCAATGCTCAATAGGCTAAGATTGAACGTTGCTGAGGGGATGCAGAAAAATATTCACTTTCATTAAGCCTTGTGACATACATGAAAAAAGTCGACTACTTACTTGAAGAGATAACGCATCTTTCCAAATGTACCTATTCTCAACCGACTGATCGATAAGGTTGACACATACTCTGAATACATCAGGCTCGAAAGAACTAAGTTCCGGTGTATGCAAAAATCCTTCGGAACCAGCAGCCCATAGGCTCACTTGACCACTAGCACCACCCACGACGAGTGTCAATGTATCCGGTACAATTGAATCGCTAACACCTGACCGAATTGGACTTCCCAGTAATACAAGTAGCTGTGTAATAGCCAGACGTGGGTCACAATTCTCAACGGATTGACGTTGTGCTCGAGAACAGTACCCAACTGGCCGGAAAGGTGGCCACGTTTCTTCCTCTAATACTGAACTGTTGCACTTCTGGAAAGTAAAATGAAATTTTAATACTCACTTTATAGACGCGACAATAATAACGTGAACAAATAGAAATTTTTAACTTTGGTTGATGAATAGGCTTAAAAACATGAAAACAGAAACGACTCACATCCTACTTTTTAGAGCTCTCATTAAAAGACTATTGCTATAATAAATTTTAAATTATAGCTTCCTAGTTCTTAGCTACACATTTGTGTACACAAAGCTTACAGGATGTACAATCAGCATACCGAAATGAATTGAACAAAATCAATAGCAAAGAATAAAACAACCAAACACTAAGAATACTGGTTTCCAAGAAGGTGTCTGTGAAGGTATATGGAAACCTAAAAATCTAGGAAAAGAAAAATGAATCAAAGCATTTGTAACTGGTTCTGAACCATTTTACCCGTTTTCATACGCAGACCTTGGCTAATATTTAATTTCGATTAGCAACAATGCTTAGACGCACAGTTAAGGAGATCATAAACTAAAGTTACAGATCGATTTAGTGATATTTAGCTTTCTATCAACTAACTCTAAATTTAGTCATCCTTGTGTATCAAGATAGCCGGCGAGTTGGCAAACGTAACACATGTCTTGATCACCTTAATCCATTAGTATTCACAGCTTAATCAACCTATTTACTGTCGGTAAGTCGTTTAACAATGTATTATTTACTTCGATATTTCACTACTTATGATTTAATTAACCCTTCCCCTGAATCAACACCCAGGTGTTCCATTTCCATAGATCAAAATTCATAGCTATAAAGTAATGCAATCGATCGCTGATCTTGTAAAGCTTAGAATACAAAATGGGCAACGTTTTAGAACCGTAGATTTATTATAAAAAGAATTATAATGTAGTGATAGAATGTACAATAAAAAGAAATACACTGGTTTGCTTGTAATTCACAATGCTAGCTGAACAGTGAAAATGCAAGTAATTCCACCAGACTCGACATTAACGTGTTAGCCGGCATACAGAATTCGGTATGATCTTCAAAAGCCGCAGGGAAGAATAATGATTTTAGAAAGCTTATTTTGATAGGAACAGGCTTATTTCAACGAACTTAGATTAACTTTTTTTTCTTAAAATGCTTCAAGTAGGAAGCGAACTAGTACTTATTATATAATATGCTTTGCCATCAAAGTTTATATCCTTTACAGATTAAATACTAACTTTGAGTTAACAGTCATGTATCATGAAACAAAATAAATACCAAAACAAAAAATCATAAACATCGTAGATGATGATTTATTTTGCTTACTTGACCATTTTGCAAATCTGTCAAATTGAACAAAGATGATGTTGGCAAAGTTCCTAAATGAATCGAAGTATCTCCTCGACCAATTGCCCATAAAGTAACCCATCCATTTGAATGCCCAAGAACAATTACATCATTTCCAGCATTTTGTGTTAAATTCTTTTTGTTACCATTTTGAGAGCCACCCCATATTGGCCATGAACAATTAGTGATCTCATCGGAAGTTGTTTGAGCAGCTTGATGTAACCGTTGGATTAGAGCAGATGGAACCTAAATAATTTTCCAAAACAAAAAACGTCTTACTACTACTACTACGACTAAGCACAGGCAACATAAAAAAAATCATCAATAAAAACATGTTAGTCAATCACTGAATTGATGTAGCTTATTTACCAAGTACAGATTTGTGCACTCGACTTTGAGGCGATACTTATGCGTGAAACCCAGTGGTACTTACTATTCGGCTACCCAAATCGAAGTAGACAAAGAGAGATTTAAGCCTATAACTTCGCAGGTGAGATTCGAACATCTAAACCATTACGCTAACACTTCAATGAGAATGACTTTATTTAGATCTACGGTAAAAAGTCAACGCTTTAGTGGTAGATTGTTGAAAGTAATCGAATGGAAACCCTGAACCTAGATTTCGTGATATTTGATGCTCGTTCGTCAGCTACCCAATTGACATAAAAACATAATGCATGCGATGTTGAACCACAAATAAATTGACCACTACATTGTAACTTGACTAAAACTAATTAAATAACTCAACATTGGCTAACAGAACAAAGTTTATGATGAGATCGGAAGCAGTATACAGTAATTTCGTCAAGCCTCTTCCAAAATACAGTCTATGTGGTAGTGAGAGTAGATGTTATCAGTGAATGAGCGTGAATTAAGTGTGATTTTCTTTCCTCTGATTGATTTTAACTCGACTTATTAAGAATAACTGCTTATAACTGTATGGAATAAAATATTATCTACCATCAATCTGGTTTTCTATTTTGGTCATCAATCAGATATTTGATATGATGTGATCTAGTTTCTGTTTAGTGTACTGTTAGTATCCAATCCAGTGGTAGCATAAACTCGGTTACCAATAACAGTTTCTGTACTGTACCATTGTATAGTCGTAGTGTACCACGGGTGCAAAGCATTCCAATACAACCGCTATAAACAGTATCATTACCAGAAGAATATCATCAGAAACTGTTATCCAATCACCACCTAAAAACTAACGCACTGTATTCACCAGCACAAACAACCAACCTATATCAACCAGCGTGTAATAAACTTCTGATGAGACACTATCACATCAAAATACATTAGAGGAAAATTATGATTTATAATGTTATGAAATTCGACTGAATGAACAATCGATTCGTATTCTAAGGACTTGACAGATAGTTAGTTGGTATGATGTGAAAAAACAAGTAAATCTGGCAGTAATTTGCTAGCTGAATCAACTTTTAAAAACGTGTTACATCTACACAATGACAACTTTGATCAACCATACAATACACTAGGGAAAAAAACCAATAACAGAATAATAACAACGGAACAAACCTGTCCAATATGAGTTATTGCTGTAACTGGAGAGAAATCCATACAATTTAAATATGGTGAATCGTAGACAGGCCAATCAGGTTGAGTTAAATCAATTGCAACAAGTTCACGTTCAGTTAGCACTAATAATGTAGCACAATGACTAGGTGGACAAGGTTTAGTCACAACATCACCTGAGACCGCTTCAACTAAAAGGAATACAAAAAACATATGGAGAAAGAATGTAGATAAAATTTTCAGCTGTAACCAGGTTTATTATCTTCAATCTATAAACAATACGTAAAACATTCATTGTAAAAAATCCACATTACAAGATCAATATAAATGTTTTCAGAACATTTGTATGGACTTTCACGAAATCTAAGGTGGCTCGTAAATTTTTGAAATTATTTTGCAATCGGGGGATATTAATAAAGATTTTTTAAGGACAAATGATGAAAAATCTTACTGGATACACTTCCTTCACTCGGTATAAGCACAAAATCAATAACCTTTGATCCGAACTGATAACAAACATGATGCTCATGATCCTGTAAGACAGACACCGCATATCGATTCTCAAATTGGGGACGTGGTAAACCTCCACAGAACACTGTTAGTAAACCGCCACTAATAAGAAATAGAGAAATAGAAATAAAAGGGAATAGAAAAGTATTTTTATAAACAATAAGACAAAACTATAATTTTCTTCTCAATTAGCACACAACAAAACTAGCTTTAAAGTTGAAAATATTCGCAACTTATCATCACAAACACAAGAGTGCTTTTACAGCTATCAGACGGGGTGTCACTTTATGTTCGAAATCGAATACGTGTGGCCTAACGGTAAACAGTTTTAGATGTGTTGGGTCTCTAATTTCAAGATATCGCCATCGACGGAAATCGTTGGGGTGGTAAGGTGAGATGTACTACTCCTAGGGGTGACCTTTTCTAACTCCTTGCTTCCGTTGGTGAGAGCTAGGATCGCTACAACACCTTCGATGCTAGATTTTTTTCCATTCCCACTAATATTGTGTCTAGCTCTGAAATTTGGCTTGAAAATTTGATCTCTCTGTGCTAAGATGGTATAGCAACTTGAAATGAAATACGTACGTTCTACGTTGCAAATGACTTACTGACAGACGGACAAACGTGCGAGCGACACAGAAGGTTAGTTAGGTACTATCAATATAGAGTAAATAAATCCTTCATAAATGGAAAGTGTCTATAATCTACACTGATTCATTGTCTTTCCTGACGCTTTGTATATTTTACATCATTAGCAAACCGAATGAAATTGACATAAAACATTTGGCATGACAGTCATAAAAACCAGAAGGTGAAAATCAACTGTTTTTAAATAGATAAAAGAAAACAATTAATGTCTCTTCAAAAGACTGTATGGTAAAAGTTGAAGTTAAAAGCTATCATGAAAATTGATCCAAAATCCTTTACACATTGTATAGGCTAGACAACCAAACGTTCGGTCACTCAGTAGACTTAAACAATTTGAATATTTAATACACGAATACGGGAGACAGATTTAAACTATACACCAATAGATTAATCAAGCGAACTTTTGTCACATAAACAATGTATTCATAGACAAGACTGTACAGTGAGTGAGTGCATGTTCAAATCAAAAACGCTATGTAACATTTCACTGATCGAATATAGCCTTTTCTAAGAGCATAATTTACACCATGTGATTAGTATTAGACAAATTACTACCGATAAAATAATTCTTAGACTTAGTAAGCTATGACTTCAAGATGGATGTGAGGTGATGACTTAGTGGTTAGAATGTTTAACCTTTGGCCAATATATCTCAGGTTCGAGATCCGCAGCATTTAATTCGTTTTGGGAAACCAAATGGTATCATTAGTTTCATAAAATGATAACTGATGAATGAATTAATTTAATTTGAACCCCTTTATGTACAGGTAAGTTTAATCTGGTTCTCAGATTGTAATAAGAGGGTTGTTACATGATGGAAGTCATTTATTAGTTGAAACATTTTCTTGGATATATGGTAGCGCGAAGTTCCTGTCCGACATCAGGTATTGATGTCTAATTAGATGAAAAATACATGCTTGACCAAATAAATTGGGCATAGATAAAACTGTACAAATATTAAATTTAACTTTGCATAAGGAAAGCATGAAGCTCATAAGAGGATTAAAATCAGGAAAGCGGATTGCTACGTTGAATGCATATCTACTTTTCATTTTTCTATGAGTTCTTATCAACAATTCAAAAGAATCAGTGACATTTTGTAGAACTTTGTCTTCTTTTAAAGATAATTTTCTTAATGATATGAAACGACCTGGAATTACAACGATTATATATTGGAAAAAAATTGGTTGTTTAAAGCTTTTTTAAAAATTGAACATAGCTTACTTTGTGGATGGACTGATCACTATTTTATTAATTGCACCACAAGGCAGAGGACCTTAAAAAGTGAAGCAAAAACATGATACAAACTCATTTAAGAACACGATACAACAGAGTGGTAATTAAAACTCCTAGAAAGAAATGTTATCGCAGTAGTATGAAATAAAAACTACATCATAGTACACCCAACAATACCTTCCCCCCCCCACCATACATTATTTTCAAAGAATTGGAAAATATTTCAGGCGACTATATATAATTCTAAGTATTGCCGGCTGCATAACCATGTCGATAGTATAAAACCTGAAGACCATTAATGAATATATGCTGACCGAAAAGTATAGAATGCGCTTCTTGATAAACAATAATATAGTAAACAAACCGAATGAACGACCAAAAAGTGTGGTGATCCGTCAAAGCCAAAAAATACGTGACAAATTACATTTCCGTACATTTCTGATCATTAAAGTGTGAGTAGTGTAAAGTGATAATGGACTGTAAAGCACCCGAAATGCTACCCAACCAACTCCTAGTTTCGATTATTAGTTTATCTTAATCTGTTACTTCTGGTTGGTGTCGATTGCTTTCTAAATTGAAAGTGCATTCTATGTGATGACTGAGTCACCAGCTCAATTTTTCTATTTTTCTTTCCTCTTCTCAATAACCTCACATACTAGACACACTCCTTCAGCAAACGAAGTAGCTTCTGGATAAAGGAAAAATGACCAAAAGCTGAGGGTACGGGACCTACGAACACTCATAACCTTCAAGATGTCAACAAAATAAGTGTTGTTGTGTGAGTGCAATATTCCTCGAATATTCTTTACGTAGAAAGCAAAATATTAAAATATCTGAGAATTTGCTTGAGACATCATACACATCTTGAAGGTGAAAGTATTCGCTTATTTTTAGAGAACCTTACTCGCCGCAACAAGTCTATAAAGTAAGGAGGATTGTATAGATTTTATGTAACACCTTTCATAACCCTTTTCTTAATGGCAAGCTAGTACCGCTATGTACATTGGAATCCTAAGGGGGGGGGGGAACTCTACTGTTGTCATATACCTGCTAAGCAGTATAATTCTAGCCTTATAATGTAAAGTGTCGACATGACAATGATCGCCCTTGATTTTTACCTATGAGCTTTCCGACTCGGCTTTAATGTAAAATAATTCAGTACAAAAACCTCACCATATGGAGTATTTGGTGGATCTATCATTGACACAATGATTGGTTCAAACGGTTGATCACTAACAGCTGCAACAATAGGCCAAACCTGAAATGCACCATCTCCATAAGCAACTACAACCTCAGTGGATAAAGAATCTACGGATGTAACACGCCATGAAGCCCATTCAACTGGCTGGTCGCGAAGCAGTAAATGACTGATTCGAGGAGCCGGAGGTACAGATAATGGTGGTTCAACTTCTTTCTGAAATAGCAAGTTAACAGTAAACAAAAAAGTTATTCACGTCGAATAACGATAAAGGCAGTTACAGAAGGAAGCAAATACAGAGACAAGATATCTCTAGAAATGGTGAATTTTTATGAACCTAAACGAGCACATGGAAAGTTAAAATGTGATTAGGACTACATAATAATTTAACTAGAATGAAGTAATGAACTAACGTAAGCATTCGTGTTGAATTACAACTATTCTACGATGGAATTTATTTTTGTTCGCCAATCTCTTTTAGGGGTCATCAGCAAGCATTATATGCCATCACCGCAGAATGACACAACTATATGGCGCTTTATTAATCCTGAAAGTTCTTCGAATGATCCTACGTCACGAAAACTAACCGAAGCTAATTATTCCTCTAAACTCAACAAGTAACAACTCTGACTATAAACGAACAAAATGTGAAGTAACTGTAAATAATTGGTCTTTTGACTCATCAATGTTCGAAATAAATTGATAATATTAACAAAGTTATAACCCAGTTAAAGCGATAATTAGGAAGATTACATGACTATTGGATGAAGTCAACAATAATGAAGTAACAATGACAATAAGAATTAAACATTGGGAATATGGTTCGAAAAGCCGGAGTGTAAATATAAGTATGGAAAAATATTGGGATTCGAAACTGAAAGAAAATTAGGGAACAGAGGAGCAATCTGAACCAGGTGACTGGGAAGCCATATAAACAAAACATTAAATAAACTTGCCTCTGTTTTAGGTGTATCAGGCCTTAAACTACGCGTCAACGCCTTAAACTTTAGAGTTGATCGTTTCTCCGAATGTCCCTTAGCAGGAGTACTGGGAGTTGATTCAGCAGCACTCTCATTCAAGACTGGGTGGGACTTCTCTCCATTTGCTTCACCTTTATCACCTAGTGCAGTATCCCCCTGAGTTTCGTCAGGAATAGTTGGGGCCAGTTCATCTACAACAATTGGAGTAACAACCTCCCCTTGAGCTGTAGGGGCAGTGACACTATCCACTGAAGCAGCGGGTTGTGTAAAACTTTCGGATGGGACAGGCTGAGGGATAGCCACAGCCACACAGCCGCCTGCGTATGCAATTAACAGATGATTTCCTTGAGGTTGCAATTCAAGTGATATAATTGGAGAGTCTACTCCTAGCTGATCTCGCTTGTCTGCAGGAACACTGAAACCAAATATACGAAATTATGCGAATTATAAATTATAAGCACACTGTAAACCATTGAATCTGAACTACTGACCTAACAAGCAAAGAAACTTGATTTTAATTAGTTGACAATTAACTACAATTTTATCATATGAAAATAGACTACAAGGGATAATTTCACTGGCAGGTTAAAATCCTTGCATTTTAGTAATATACTCCTATGATGAACTATGCTTCTTTCCCCATTATTAAAACAACAAAGATGTAGATATTCATTCTTAGCTAACATGAAAGATTAATATCAAATGGTTACTGAAGTTTCGTCACGAGTAGGATAATCCTTCGAAGTTATTCAATGAAAAAATCATTCGCTGACAAATAGTCGGCTAAAAGGCTTAAAACTAGTGTTACATTTTAAATACAGTCAACCAAGAAGCATGATTATGAGCTACAAATAACGTAAGACATTAACAATTTACTCTGAAATTTAGCAGAACTAAGTTAACTGGGGAATAATCGTATACAATAATCACACAAATCTTGATCGAAACATTAATGAATCCTGGTAATATGAACGAGATAAATACGTTTGAATAATGACGTTTTAATGAACAAACTATCAAGTTTTAAAGATTCAGTCAGTCAGTCAGTTGCAACGCAGAACTTCGTACGTATGTACATAAGTTCAGGTAGCCATACCACATTAGCACAGAGAAGCAAATGTCAAATCGAATCCCATAGTGATAGAGATAGTAGAGGTATTAATGGTAATGAAGAAGACTAGGGTTCAAAAATATTATTTAAGAAGCATAATTAGGTGAAATAAGGTTAGAAAGACAAAGGTAGAAGTGCTGACGAATCCAGAAGATTAGGATTTGAGACAAAACGAATGGATGCACTTGAGCCATTGCAAACGATTCTGAGCCATGTCATTCAAGGTCTCTAACCATTGGTGACTTTCGTCTCGCGGACCCCAACAAGGTAGCCTACATCTACCAACACGACTCAGCCCACTTGTCAGTGACTTCATGGATTTCTGCCATGTTTTGGTTTGGCTGCCCCTAGCTTTCTTCCAATCTACTCCTACACCACAAAACATAGCCCGATCAAAACTAAGAATGTTTAAAACTAAACATTCCTGCATTTACGTAAAGGTAATGTAAACCCTTTAGATCAAAAAGTATAGCAAGCTAAAGACAGTCATCAAAATCAGACATGAAAAACAGTATAAAAATTACCTTTCGCTAATAATTGAACTTGTACACGCAGTAAGTGCATCATCTCCTAATGTCATACGACCATTTTTAACCGCAACTTGACGCAGTGTACCGTTTGAAGAACCGATGTAAATGACACCATGACCGAGGCATAAACACGTAATAAGATCATTTTCAACGCTATAAATATAAATAAGTACAATTTATGACCGATATCAAGGTAATTACTTGAAATACAAGTATTTCTTTGCATTCAAATAAAAGCTTCACAAATCTGTATTCTTTTCGATAATTCTGAATATCTGTAATGAAGGCAATCAACAAAGGAACTGACAGATGTCAAACTGCGAAGATCTATGACCAGACTAGACTAATCTGCCGTCTCGAATGTTTCCTCACGAAATTAGGCCTGATATAATGTGGTAGAAGCACTAGTGACAAAGCTAACTTGCGTCCTGATATGGAATATTTTTGTTAGGCTTGACAGTTAATACAGCATTAAAAAGGCCAATACCGTTTCTCATGTCTCACTCATTTTTACGTCCATAACAAGCATTAGTAACCGGTGGAGATAGTGAAGTAATCCAACTAAAGCAAAAGCTACTAAGAAAAGCACTACCGTCTACAAGTTTGTTGATAAAAAAGTGGACTTGATACGATAAGACGGTGCATGAGTGATGACGTCACTAAACAACTGGCATCACCGGAACTGGCTGAGTTTTCAAATCGTCATCGCACTACTGTGAACTATACTGCAAACGGTAGTTAAAGGGCCCGTTGGAACCTGTCCCGACAGCATATACGGAATGTCGAATCCACCCCACAAGACATGTTTCCCATGAAAAACTCTATGCAATGAATTCCCTCAAAGAATCTCCAGCAGATAACTTGGACTGAAAGCCTTACTGATTAAAGTAAACGTGGAAAGTAATTACTAAAGAGCCTCGCACTTTACCAAGACAAAACGCGTAGCAATACGAAGTACTCAGATCACATTGTTTAATCGACATGTCTCCTGGTGAATGCAAATTATCAGTGACCAAAACGTTCGAATTTACTAGAACGAAGTGAACGTGCAGATGTGAGTGAAAATATATCCAGATGGTTAAATTCCTCCCGTTTTTAAAATTCTTACTTGCAGACTTACTTTTGCTGAACTTTGATGTGACTACAGAGTGACCACTGACCACAGCTAGAGTCCAATTCATAAAGGTCTAGCGTTCCATCAGTCGACGCGCAAACAACACGCCCCTATAGAGAATATTATCAGTTAAGAAAATAACTTGCTTCTCCCGGTAAAAACAGAAGAGAAGTAATCGGAGAACCCTCTCGTTGTACAGTGAAAACAATACCCGGTGTCCCATAGCTGTATATGTGAGATGAGTTAATCTGAACTTACATCTTTAACAACCCTTTACTTGTTCCTACAGCCAAAAGGCCAAGAACTTCGTCGAAAGCTAGGGCGCTTGGAGACTCCAGACATCCATAAGCAGATGACTAATCCCAATTACGCTGAAAGAAGGTACTCACCTGGTGACAACAGTATCCATCAGTATGTTTCCCCAGTGTATAATCATGTATTCGCTTGACGATTTCAAGATTTTGCAGTTGGTGTGGCAATTTTCTGAACGGTTCTAGAATACGCTGTGCCATTATCGGAAGCAGATACCAGTCACAATGTAACGGTAAAGCCAAAATGACTAGTTCAAATTTCAAACAACAATCCAGACGCCTATTTAATTGATGCAGCTAATCAAATATGGCGAAAATTTTAGAAAAATCAGTTTATTTTATTATTAAAGTAATAACTGAATGAGTAAAAATTTGTTTCGGGTTGATCGATGTCCAACGATTGGTGTTCACTTTATGAACACGGTTAATTCCGATGTTTCACAATTGGAAGTTGAAATTTTAAGATTGAGCTCCATAAGCTACTGGAATTAGTGTTAAGGTTCATCCATCCGTTGAAGCGTGAATAGCCCAACCTTAAGTCGCTTTCTTACGACTGAAAAACTTTCCTGCCATGTCGCTTCAATTGTAAGCGCCTCCTAGATACATTTATAGATTGCTTATGAAAGCTATTACTGCTAAACTTTTTATATTTCACTTCACCGAATCATTTCCAACAGTTTAAGATATTTGGTGGCAGTTTTCCTTCGTCCACTGACCTACTCAACCCAAATTTTTTAGTAGACAGCATGCAGTTCGGTTGCCGAGACCACTGAAGAATCCTCTCGTACAATAGTTCAGTGCACTGCTAAGGCACAAATGACAAGATTCGACCTCAGTGCTTTTCTCGTATTATTCAAATGATACAAATCTGGTGAGAACCAACACTCATGAAACTTGAGCTGCCGAAGATGTATGTATACTTAAATATATCTAGAATAAGTGTTTGTGGATCCAAACAGTCTATATCACCACGTTAATGTCTGTCATACCTCTGGCAATGTTGTTTTGTATGTCACTGGGCTTTTTCACATTTGTGTGAGACCAGACGAATTACATCATCTACCAGAAATACGAAACAAAAAGTTATCGGTTATCAATCAACACTAATTCTGTCCACTACCCAGTGTTTGTAACAAGCCACAGTCAAAGAACAATTCTTTTATGTTCGCTTCCTGACGTCAAAAGTACGGTTCTAGGTTTTGGATGCCATTAAATGTGGATAATTATTACGTTACAGATCATTCAACCTTTTGGTTGAGAGAACGGTGATTTTAAAATGAGATTGTAAGAGAAGATAAAAGGCAGGAGCTAAGCCTAGTAAATGGTAAATTGATTAATTGTTTGAGCATCCGATAAGATTCAGCATAGTTAACTTAGGAATACACTCTTTCGCTGTCGTCGAAACATAATCTATACCACTGGTAGAGTGTACAATTTCTAGAAAATAAATATTCATCATCAACTGCATGTCAATTTCAGGTTGGAAAGAATAAGCGGCTAGTTGAACTATATAAGTTCTGCAACTGTCTCTTATGTGACCTCAAATGAATTCATAGATGCTCTTTGTAACCTGTATAATGCCCCCAAAAACAGCATAAACTCACATTACGCACAGGCGAAACTGGAGGACTCATTACTGCGCTGACTTAAGCGCAAGTTCTGACGAGAGATCAAAACGTTGCATCACACTAAAGATATAATATGCATTGCCGAATATTATGGCTACGGCTGCTGTTGACAAATGCCGATGGAAGAATTTATAATTATATCAAAATGTTTTACAAATGATAACAACTCGTTACTAAAGGTATGCCAATTCACAGTCAAGATCAAAATTTTAGAATGGCTAACATGTTTTCAATAAAATATTGTTCAGTTACGTAAATATTTCGTAAAATACATTAACTTCAAATAGATGCATAAAATTCTTTACATAAAATTGAAGATAGTGTTTCAGACTCTGCAATGTTCAGTACGATAGTAACAACGGTTACGTTACGACGATCCACTGATGACTGTGGACTAAAGCGCGGAAAATCCAGCTCTGTTTATAACAAGATTTGATGAATTAAATGCGCGAAGAGCTTCTTTTTGATATTCGTCAGAAAATAAATTTCCAGGCTCCCAAGAAAAGCAATCAAGTCTTCGGCAATTATCCAGACTAAAATTTAGGGGGTAGAATAAGGTGCTAAAAAAAGAAAGGGGCGAGGAGCAGGACAAAAAATATTGTTGTTTAGAGCTGATTCATGATTCAGCAAATAATACTTTTGGATAAAACAAAGGTGTGATTGCTCAGACCTTTCATTTTTTGTTTTAGAACTCTTACTGCGCATCTTCCCTTATATAGGTTAATGAAGACAAGCCATTAGTAAGATAAAGAGTAGGAAAGTAATCTTATGAACTGAGGAAATTCAAACAAACTAAATTGTTATAAATAATATTGATCTACAGAATACAATGATAAAGCATAGTGATCTGATGCACTTGTGATATTATATATTTTTCCTTTTTCTTTTTTTAACGCTATAGCTGAAGAAGTCAAGAGTGAGCACTTTTTTCTAGATCTGCATGTAATAAGGTCTCTTAGTAGGAAGTGAAACCAGTTAGTGGTTACAAACATGAGTCGTGGACGTGGTTAACAAGGAAAAGTAACATCAATATCATTGATTAGTTACAAAAACGTTGCTTGTGACGGAAGTTATGAGGTTGGGAAATCTGTTAATGGTCTATACGTAATATGGTCTCATTCTTCTTGCCTTCCAAAACTGGGACTTCACATGCTTCATATGAATTTGCTGGTCGTTCATCCAAACGAGGAAATGTCCCATTTTACTCATGGATTGAAATATTTAAACACCAACGAGGATATAATCTTTGGTTTCCTTGGTTTTTAGACAATCAGAATGACAAATCTAGCGACCTTAATCTCATTAAGATTGAGAAAATATGTATTCGGTCTACTTGTCTCTTCCTTGTGTCGGACGAAACATATCCAAACTGATTTAAGTGAAAACACAGGACTTGTGGGAAAGTTATTAGATTGCTTGCGTATTTCCACCTAAAGTTTTTCCAGTTTAATTCTTAGTGTTTTGAAAAGCAAGCGCCGTAACATGATTGATGGCAGCCCTTGCACAATAATAACTATGAAAAAAGTAGGGGTCTGGAGTCAGAGGTTAGCAACGAGTTAGAAATTCCTGTTTATGACAACAGGATTATGAAAAAGATAGAGACGCTACTGGATAATGAATCTCAGAGCAATGTGTTCAACACCAAAATTGAGTCTCCAACCAAGTAATCGGGATCTTATGGTAACGAGACCTAAAGTGCAAGAAACCGAACGACAACTTTATCAAATGCCTGTCATCCGTTAAAAGCAGCAGCTGAGCATTCAAAAATTATTTCTAAACTGATTGTGTTCAGTATAATATTGCCGTACTGGGGCAACACAACGGGCCCCCGCCGCTTTGATACACATGCCTCACGATGTAGAAAATATATACCCACTGAGCTGACGAAGGAAGAACAAACCACTGTAGTAGATACTCCTACTAAGAAAACGCAACTGGTGAATAATAAACCTCTATTACTGCACTCGTTTTATTTAATTGCACCAAAATCACTTACTTACGCGCCACCCTCTTTTTTCGCGTAGGTGACATCCTCCACAACTTGCTGCTCACTGTACTGCCCACTTTCTCCTTTAAATATATACTTTATCCTGGATTTACTTCTGATTATCGTGACAGGATGGTAATTAGTATTTAGTGGTGATCACAGTCAATCACAACTCGGTCACTAAACTACCTAGCTGAAAATAACCAGGCCTGCGCTCACTAGTACACTCTACCATTCGTGTACATACGCAACTCAACAGGAGACCATGAGAGTCACAACCACAGACTTCACAACAATAAAATAACTGACTATTGCACGTTAATTGTAAGGAAAGCGAGTGGACATGAGGAAGGAAATAGAAGCAGCATAGTTCCGAAAATGCTCAACATCATAGAGAAAGATATTAGACAGGTGCTGTAATTCAGCTGAATCTCCCACTGTCACAGATTAGCTGACTGGACGTGAGAGCAGCCTTCAAGAAGAACGTTGGAACCGTAACAGTAAAATCCTTTGAATAGGAAGTATTTCAGCCAAACTATACGTGCCGAGACGCAATGAAGAATAACCTCGATCCATTAAAAATAACTTAACATTCAGCAAACGTCGAAGAAGAAACCCTACTGACCAACCAGTAAGATGGTTCACGAAGTACCTGATCTGGTAGGCCGTAGTTGAGACAAAGCTCAAGCCGTTGGCTACTGAAGACCTTCACACCAGAATGGAAGTTGGCGTCACATAGTTGCCTCGTCCGTCATATCTTGCGGTCATTGAGTATTCACGTCTGACGGCTATGAACTTCGGAAACCGCGAGGACATAGTTGAAGTACTTCAGGGATGAAGAATTATCTCTCCAGTCGCTTTAGATGTTCTGAGAGCGGAGCTAGATTAGATAGAAAGCATCATGGAGGCTATGCAAAGGACAGTCCAATGTAGGTTGATTTCGATCGCCAAATCACAAACCAAGACCAAGGTCACACCAGAAGAATACACTTTGCAGGCAAAAAGCATTCAGTGGCCAGTTAGCACAAACTTGTCAGTCAAGTCTATTCAACTTTCTAAGAATTCAGGAATGGATGCACCGTGAGAACAGAAAAGCCATCACAGCAATTTAACAGAACTAAGGGGTATATTAGAAGAAAACCGAAACATATACATTCTGATAAAGCTTTATCATTATCCAGACTTGGATATCAAGAACAGTAAAATGACTTTTTTCTTGTGCGATACAGTATACAGTAAAGAAGGTCCAGTAGCGTTCAACACTAACAGCCACTTCAGAGCCATAAAACTCTATGGTACTGAATTACCTGACGCGATAGAATCATACGGATTTTACTCCAGTGTGAACAGTGTAGAATAGTTTGCTACCTGTATGTACTAGCCTCCTTCAAGCACTAACGGCCGACATAGCAATTACTACATCTGAGGCACAACCAAATACTTCAAAGTACATAATGCAATTCCACATTCCTTGTTCTCAGCGAAGAGAATGAAACCAATGTTGTATGTTCTGGTAAACAGCTTTCCAAAGCCGCTGGAATTTTCCGACTGAACGAACAATTATGTGATGCTGTGAGATAAAGTAA